AAACTGGAAATCAACTCCAAAAGGAACTCTTAAAACCATGCAAATAAGTGGAAATTAAATAACCTGCTCCTGAATGATCATTGGATCAACAGTGAAATCAAGATGGAAATTTAAAAATTCTTCAAACTGAACAATAATAGTGATACAACCTAACAAAATCTCTGGGATACAGCAAAGGTGGTGCTAAGAGGAAACTTCGTAGCATTAAATGCCTACATCAAAAAGTCTGAAAGAGCACAAATAGACAATCTAAGGTCACATCTCAAGAAACTACAGAAACAAGAACAAACCAAACTCAAGCCCAGCAGAAGAAAAGAAATAACCAAGATCAGAGCACACTAAATGAATTTGAAACAAACACACACACACACACACAAAAGACAAATGAAACAAAAAGCTGATTCTTCGAAAAGATAAATAAAATTGATAGACCATTAGTGAGATTAACCAAGAAAAGAAGAGAGAAGATCCAAGTAAGCTCAATTAGAAATGAAACAGGAGATATTACAACCAATACCACAGAAACACAAAAGATCATTCAAGGCCACTATGAACACCTTTACGCCCATAAACTAGAAAACCTAGAGGATATGGATAAATTCCTGGAAATATACAACCAGGAACAAATAGAAACTCTGAACAGACCAATAACAAGCACTGAGATTGAAATGGTAATTTAAAAGTTGCCAACAACAAAAAAGTCCAGGATCACATGGATTCACAAATAAATTCTATCAGACATTCAAAGAATTGGTACCAATCCTTTTGACACTATTCCACTAGATGGACAAAGACAGAATCCTCCCTAAATCATTCTATGAAGCCAGTATCACCCTAATACCAAAACCAGGGATGGACATAACAAAAAACTACAGAACTATATCCTTTATGAACATAGATGCAAAACTCCTCAACAAAACACCAGCTAACCAAATCCAACAACATATCAAAAAGATTGTCCACCATGATCAAGTGAGTTTCATACCAGGGATCCAGGGATGGTTTAACATACACAAGTCAATAAATGTGATATACCACATAAACAGAATTAAAAACAAAAATCACATGATAATCTCAATAGATGCAGAAAAAGTATTTGACAAAATCCAGCATCTTTTATGATTAAAACCCCCAGCAAAATCAGCATAGAAGGGGCACACCTTAAGTTAATAAAAGCCATCTATGGACAAACCCACAGCCAATATTATACTGAATAGGGAAAAGTTGAAAGCATTCCCCTGGAGAACTGGAACAAGACAAGGATGCCCATTTTCACCACTTCTATTCAACACAGTATTGGAAGTCCTAGCCAGAGCAATCAGACAAGAGAAAGAAATAAAGGGCATCCAAATCAGTAAAGAGGAAGTCAAACTGTTGCTGTTTGCTGATGACATGATCATACACCTAGAAAACCCTAAAGACTCTTCCAAAAAGCTCCTGGAAATGGTAAATGAATTCAGCAGTTTCAGGATACAAAATTAATATACACAAATCAGTAGCCCTGCTATACACCAACAGCAACCAAGCTGAGAATCAAATGAAGAACTCAAACCCTTTAATCATAGCCATAAAAAAGATATTTAGGAATATACTTAACCAAGGAGGTGAAAGACCTCTACAAGGGAGACTATAAAACACTGCTGAAAGAAATCATAGATGACACAAACAAATGGAAACACATGGTCATGGATGGGTAGAATCAATATTGTGAAAATGACTATACTGCCAAAAGCAATCTACAAATTCAATGAAATTCCCAACAAAATACCACCATCATTTTTCACAGAACTAGAAAAAACAATCCTAAAATTCATGTGGAACCAAAAAGAGCCCACAAAGCCAAAGCAAGACTAAGCAAAAAGAACAAATATAGAGGCATTACATTACCCGACTTCAAACTATACTATAAGGCCCTAGTCACCAAAACAGCGTAATACTGGTATAAAAACAGGCATGTAGACCAATGCAACAGAATAAAGAACCCAGAAATAAAGCTAAATATTTATAGTCAATGGATCTTTGACAAATCAAACAAAATCATCAAGAGGGGAAAGGATATCCAATTTAACAAATGGTGCTGGGATAACTGGCAAGCCACATGTGGAAGAATGAAACTGGATTCTCATCCCTCACCTTATACAAAAATCAACTCAAGATGGATCAAAGACTTGAATCTAAGACCTGAAACTATAAAAATTCTAGAAGATAACATCAGAAAAACCCTTCTAGACATTGGCTTAGGCAAAGACTTCATGACCAAGAACCCAAAAGCAAATGCAACAAAAACGAACATAAATAGATGTTACTTAATTAAACTAAAAAGCTTCTGCACAGCAAAAGAAATAATCAGCAAACAGACAACCCACATGTAGGAGAAAAATCTTCACAATCTATACATCCAACAAAAGACTAATATCCAGAATCTACAAGGAACTCAAACAAATCAGCAAGAAAAAAAAACAAGCGGATCCCATCAAAAAGTGGGCTAAGGACATGAATAGACAATTCTCAAAAGAGGATATACAAATGGTCAACAAACATAGGAAAAAATGCTCAACATCACTAATGATCAAGGAAACGCAAATCAAAACCACAATGCAGTACCACCTCACTCCTGCAAGGATGGCCATAATCAAAAAAGAATAAATGTTGATGCAGACGTGGTAAAAAGGAAATACTTTTACACTGTTGCTAAGAATGTAATCTAGTGCAACCATTATGGAAAACAACGTGAAGATTCCTTAAAGAACTAAAAGTAGATCTACCATTTGACCCAGCAATCCCACTCCTGGGTATCTACCCAGAGGAAGAGAAGTCATTATACAAAAAAAAAAAAACTTGCACATACATGTTTATAGCAGCACAATTCACAATCGCAAAAAATATGGATGCAGCCCAAATGCCCATCAATCAACAAGCAGATAAAATGTGGCATACACACACACGCGCACACACACACACACACACACACACACCATGGAATACTACTCAGCCATAAGAAGGAATGAAATAATGGCATTTGCAGCAACCTGGATGGAATTGGAGACCATTATTCTAAGTGAAGTAACTCAGGAATGGAAAACCAAATATTGTATGTTCTCACCCATAAGTGGGAGCTAAGCTATGAGGACGCAAAGGCATAAGAATGATACAATGGATTTTGGGGACTTGAGGGAAAGGGTGGGAGGGGGAGTGAGGGAAAAAAGACTACAAATTGGGAACAGTGTATGCTGCTCAGGTGATGGGTGCACCAAATCTCAGAAATCACCACTAAAGAACTTATTCATGTAACCAAACACTACCTGTTCCCCAAAAGCCTATTGAAATTTGAAAAACAAAAAGACCCCATGTGTGTGTTTGTACACATGAGGGAATGTGTTTGTATAGAAAAAGAGGCAGACAGTAAGGAAGCAAACGTGGCAAAATAGTAATAATTGTAGAATTAAGTTATGGGTGTTCATCGTATCATTCTTTCAACTATGTAACATTCAACATTTTCAAAATTAAAAGTTAGGGGAAATGTAAATAAGAATAATGTTATTGAGAAATGTTTAAAGACATAAAAGGTGTCTTTGATTATAATTCTAAGTTTAAAGAGGAAGTTTCAAAATAATGTACAGGATAATTCTATTTGGGGATATATATTTGGATCAATATACACAAATACATTAATAGAGGTCACTATAATTGGAGTCCTGTAAAGTTGTGCAACACAGCAACCTCAAGTATTTATCTCTAGGCAGCATGATTATGGTGACTTCTGCTTTCTTATTTTTATTTCCAAAAATTACCTACTTTTACATATATGCATTAATATATACATACACATATACATATGAATTACTGTTTAAAAGAATGAGACCTGGATCTTAGATCATGTTAAAACATATCAAAACTTTGCAACACTGGGTCCTGTTGAAAATCTGTTTGTGTTAAAGCCAGTTAATCTTATCTTTACACTATTAAGATTAAATATAATTAAATCATTTTACTTGAAAAAAATGGGTGACAATAATTCTAGACTCCTGATTACCATTGGGAATATGAATATATTGCCCCAGAGGGCATAACTAATGGCCTATGGGTGGGAACCACATTGAGACAGAGTTCAGCTCATTATAAGACTGCATGTTGCAATGAATAAGTATCTAACAAGGGAATGAAATGCATCATGCTCTAATTACCTGTGGCAGTAGGTTAACCACCTATCAGGGATGGTATTGGAAGGAGGGACAGGGCACTATGTAAACTCTAATCCAGCCTTTAGTCTCTAAAGAGTCTGTGGTCAAAAATAAAGAAAACAGCCGTAATAGGTTGGATTCAGGTCCACTGAAGGAAAAATTACATAGTAGCCTGTCACTGACTAACTAGAGACAATAGAGAAAATCAACACTCTCTGGTGTGGATGCTATGTTAAAGAAATTGGATTCAGTAAACTGAAGTGTTAATGATACTATTAATTACTCCACCAAATTACTCAACCAAAAAACCAAAGTGTGTTTTCTGCGATCATGACCAAAATTATTTCTAACTATTTGAACTCTGTTTTAAATGTTGGTGTGTTCACACAATGGAACACTGCTTTGAAATTTAAAATGAAGAACAAACTATTAATACATGCAACTGTGTGGGTATATGTCAAAAACCTTATGCTAAGCAAAAGCAGCAATACAAAAGAACACATGCTGTATGATTTCATTTATCTTCATTTCAAAAGTAGGTAAAACTGATCTGACAGAAATCAAAAGACGGTCACAATGGGTGTAGAAAGAATGAATGAAAAGAGGCACGAGGAAACTTTCTGGGGTGATAGAAATCAATGTTCTATATCTTGTTTTATACACCCTTGGTAGTTACATGGGTGTATATAATCATCAAAGTTCATTGAGTTGAACACCTAGACCTGTGTGCTTTTTGTATATAAATTAAACTTGCATGAAAAAATTAAAATTATATTTTTAAAACATCACTTTGCATCATTGGAAGAACTCAAAACTTACCAAGCAATTTCTTTTTACTGTAGAACTACCTGATCTTTCACCAGGTCTCAATAGGTGGCCGACCTAAGAAAACAGAAGTATGCAATATTAGTATCTGAAAAATGCATAATAACTATAAATTTACCTCCTTTAACATTCTTCCTAGACAAATCTAGATAACCAGGAAGTCCTGACACAGGAAGGAACAACAGATTGAATTTATCAGGCTTTATTTAGTCCAGCCAGATAAGAATAATTCTGTACAAAAATAATCTATTTGTTTTTTAAAGGCCATATGAGACAACTCAAGGTAAGCACAAATATGCCACTCAATTTGGCATTAAAATTGAGTGAAACAGATCTCAAATCCTGTGAATCAGAAAATCTCAGGGGTGAGGTTCCAGAATCTGCCTTTTATTTAAGTGCCATAGGTGACTCTTTCACAAGCCATAGCTGAGAACCACCACTGAACTTCGAGAACTATGTGTGAGAGGAAATTACTGCCCAGGCTTCTAGAGAAACAAAATGCAATCCAAAACTTTCCCTCAATTTATTCTCATGTATGTAAGTCTTCTCTGGGCAGTTATTTTTTTAAAACCAGAATAATATCATTATTAGATTTCATTTTTCCCTACATGTGGTCTAATTTCCTTCATTCTGTAAACTCTTAGAGATTTAGAATGAGAAATGAAGGAGCAAACAAGTGATTTCAAACATTCAAAACCCAAAATACCATGGAAATAAACGCATCTTTGCAAACACATGACGGTGCAGGCAGAGGTACTGACCGCATGCTCTTTCAGTTAGAAAAAAAAAAATGACTGGTTTGTTTCCAGCTCAGGAAAGTGGTGTGGCAGGATGCAGCCAACGTACATAAAGAAGAAGTTGGTCAGTCATATGGTGACCAGAGAAGGGGAAGAACAATACTTATGGCTTAGTAGTTACAAGAAAAGAGGTTGCAGAGGAAGTTCATCAACACGCACTCTCCACTACAAATCACCAAGAAGTCTAAAAAGTCTGAGACCCTTTCTTCCTTTTCTGGCCCCTGGGGTATGCCTGACAAACAGGGTCACTGATACTTTGCAGGACCCAGTGTTTTATAGGGACCAGGTAACTAAAACTTATGAATCCAAGCAAGGAGATAGGGGTGTCGCTGCCAGGTGTTGCTAAAAGCAAGGCTAGGTCATCATATATGATCCCATCAGTAACTCCACTGTGGCTTCCTCCACACCTTCAATCAGCTGCCAGCAAGGCTGCCCAAGACCATGCCTCCTAGCCCCACCTCTCTACTCCCCCACCCCAGCCCCAAGCAGTGGGTTATCTCCAGGACATGCCTGCTGACCAGTGCTTGCTCTCCCGCTACGTTCCTCCCTTGTTCCAGGCGTGGCCACCTGTAGACCAGTGTCCACATCAAAGCCAGAGTCATCATTATAAAAGGAGAATGGCATCATGTCACACTCCTGCTAAAAACCCTGCCAACACCTCTTGTTGGCCTCAGGAAAAAAGCTGTAACATGACTCCTAGGACCTTCTGCAACATGGTCCCTGCTCATCTTTCCAGCCTGATTCCTCATCACTCTCCTTCCCTATTCCCATGCTTATCTGCACCTCCCCATGTCTGCACTCCAGAAATATACAACTCAGCTTCTTTCCATTTGGGAGCCTTCACACATGCTCTTCCCTCTACCTGTAGCCACCTGTCTCCACTCCCTTTATCAGACTAGCTCCTTTTCATCTGTCCAATGGCAACTCATATATCATTTCCTTTAGGAGGCCTTCTCTGACCTCCCCAGAGATAGGAGGAGCATTTCCTGTGTGTTCCCGTAGAACCTGGCACTGCCCATGTGAGAGCCCCGATCACTCTAGAATACATTTTTCTATTATATTGGCTATTTTCCTATTATTCCACAAACTCCTTTAGGACAGGGCACCATAGCTGTATCTCCAGCATCTAATGCCTGTCTGGCACGTAGTAATGCTCAGTAAACACTTGTTGAATGAAAGATTAATTTCCACAAGAAATGGAGGAAGGGCTTCCAAATGCTAAAAGACACTTTCCTTTTAGTAACTATCCCTCCCTGGATCCCAGACCCCAGTCCCCAGGCCTAAAATGTCTCAGATCTGCCTTCTCAAGCTGGACTGGCTGCAGCTCTTTTGGCTGCTCCCTCCCTTTTTCTGGTCCCTATCTTCTTACACACCCTTATCTTCAGCCTGGGAAGAACCTCAAAGCATGAGCAAAACTGGGTTACCAATAGGAAGAGTGTTGCAGGCAAATTGAAGAGCAGAAGAAAGAAGAGAAAATAAGCAAATCTGGGGAGAGGAGGCACTATAGTTATAAAGGAAGATACACAAAAAGGATGTTTGGCGGTAAAGGCTTCCTGTGAAAAATACCACAGACACAAGTGAGTTTTCATCGGTGAAGGACTTTGCTGTTTCTTTGTTTCACAAAATACTCAAACAAAAAACAAAATTGTTTTTGTTTCACAGAATAGTCATAGCAACAAATACAAAACGGTACTGGGCAGGTGAATGAATTCTGTGACAACGACATCTGTATCTGGTGGCCCCACTTGCCCAGAGGATAAAGGCTCATCAGCAAGTTCCAAGCCAACTTGTTAGGGCTTGAAAATTCTCCAGTGGGACTAAGTCAACATGTTCTGTGTTCATGGGCTGAGTTCCCAGAGCAGAGGAAAAGAAAAATGATTCTTTAAGCAAGATGAAAAAAAAAGGGGACTCTGTGCCCAAACAGTGGCAATGAGAATGCAGACAGAAGACATTTATCTCTCAGAAAGCTAATCAAAGTACCAGGCACTTGGCAGCTTATCCTTTCTTTGTCCTTATCCGTTTGCTAGATTGGTTTGCGGGATTGGTACTAACAGATAACAAAGACGAACTTAAATACAATTGTGTAATATAGGGTAACTAAGGAGAAAATATCCGTGTAACCTCTTCTCTATCTTATTTTATATTTTTCTGCTAGCACTTCTCATTTTAAAAGTTTCTCGACATTCAAACATAAAGCAATGTCATATTCTTCCATATTCTTCCTAAAATTACTTTTAAAACATACAGCTTTGTTGCTATTGTTAATTTCTCCAATACCATCTTCCAAAGTGTCTTTGAAACCTTTTATTTTGAACATACTGAATAAATCTATTTTTCAATTTTAGCCATTTTTCCTTGTGTAGAAAATATTCTGTCACGGGAATTATATAATCACTATTGCATGAAATAAACAATATTTCTCTAAGATTTCCAGAAGTTGTTTCTTATTAATGATCCTAGTCAAGTGTTGTCACTCTCTAAAACATAAAGTAACATCGAAAAAATAAGAATTGACATTCAAGTCCATGTTTCCTCAAATCCAGTCTTTTTCTAGTAGCAATGACAATCAGGTATACTTTACGGAGGACTCATAGTAATGTAGCAGATTCTAGTTTAACTCTAGAAGCAACATTTAGTCCTGTCATTCTTGCAAATTTATCAACTCACCGAAACACCACCACTGATACTCGCTCCACCTCTAAAGGTTGTCGGAGTAAAGAAAAAGTCATCTTTCGCTGAACTTTTGGAACAGTAAAGATCTAAGGAAATAGAGTAAACAAAATCAGTTGAAAGAAAAAGGTTTGCTAAAGTCAAGTCTAGCTCTAGAAGCAGGAACTTAGGATTTTGAAATTTAACCCTTTACAAGTACTGAAGCAAACAATATTTACAAGAATAAGTTCTCCCTCTTAAAAACTGCCTCAAAGTAGAGGAAATGGAAAAACGAAAGCTGCTGGATGGGTCTTATCTTTCCCTTAGCTTCATCTTATGCCAGGGATTAAAATGGTAGTTTCTTCACGTGAAAATCCTAGAGGGTTGTTTTTAATAAGGGAAGTGTGAGAAAGTAGAGAGAGGAATGTAGCAAATAATAGCTAAGGACTTTACATATATTAATTTATTTTTAAAAGCAATGCATATTTGTTTTAAAGATTGAAATTCGCACTTTCATAATTTTTTTTTTTACATTTCAGGTTTAGGTGTTGAATCTTGGTCATGGAAAATAATTTTCTAATGCAAGAAATAACAAAGTCAAAAGAAGATGCCAGTTTGTGCAGGGAAATTAAAGAGTTGGTTTTAGACACCTTGAGATTGAAGATAACAAGACCACCATGCTGGAATTGCTACTTAAGCATCCTGTGAGGAAGAGATCAGCCTTCCACAAGGAAGTCTCTTCTTACACTGAAAATGGGCACATCTGGGTGCAGGTGACGCAACACTTTAAGCAAAGGATTAAAATGGAGAGTCTCTTTAATGATCTGAGGCCGTACAGCAATCAAGTTATTACAGCTAATTCCCCTTGCTCTGATTCCATGCTCACCAAGCAACCTGCTGATAATAATCTGCTTTCCCACAGAAGCCTGCCCACAGGGAAAGAATGCACTTGTCATGCTGGAGTGAACATTCTGGTTCTCCTGACAGAGTATGTATTTTAAATTAATAAATTGTCATTCTTATTTTATATCATCAGTTTCCTGAGCTACTATTAATCTGCCCCCAGAAAGATCTGTTTTGGGTGTGCTATTGAATTACAGTCCACAGTCTACAGGACAAACGGCCCACTCTGGCCATAGTAAACTCACCAAAAGCCATCCAAGAGAACAGCCCTCAGAGCTGTTCGGGAGGATGGGGAAGCAGGACATGGTGGTCAGAAGCCTGTCTTTTGGGGCCACACACCCTGTTCTTGGATTCCTGCTTTTTCCACTAACTCATTACAGAATCTGGGGCAAATACGCTCTGTAAACTTCAGAGCCAACCTGGGTGGGTCGTGGGGACAGGGCACATAATGAGAGTGTGCATTTGATATTAGTTATCTTAAAGGCAGACCATTGATGTCTCTTTGTCAACGTTTCTGCGTAAACATTAGGAACAAATGAGGACAGCGAGTGTAACTCCTTTAAGACATTCTGCAATAAAAGAAAGGAGATAATGGCTGGGCAGGGTGGCTTATGCCTGTAATCCCAACACTTTGGGAGGCTGAAGTGGGAGGACTGTTTGAATCCAGGAGTTCTAGATCAGCCTGAGCAAATAAATATTTATTTATTTGTCTCTACACAAATAAATAAATAAACGGACATAAGGGTGAACAGATGATGGGACTTAAACAGAAGCTGTGTTTGCAGTGAGGAGCTAGGGGGCATGTGGTAAACTGAGGGGTTAGGGCCAGTGGAAAGAGAAAGATTGAAGATATGAAGTAGAGTGACAGAAAAGCAAAGGAATTAGAGGAGATTGGAAAAGAACGGGAAAAGGAAGGAGCCAGGGCAGTTGAGAAAGAGACAGGAGCAGTGGAGGCCAGGAAAAAGCACAGGCAGAGCCTTGGCAGTCCACCCCGCTGGCCCGGAGACCTGCCCAGGCGAGCCCCTCCCTGCCTGTCTCCTATCTGAGAGCCTAGGGAGGAACTGAAGTGTTCCCACCAGGGTGGGGATCTTCTACTTCCTTTAGGTGTGGGTGTTCTCCAGTTCTCTGAAGACTCAGGACAAAGCAGGCCAAAGACGAAGGGACCCAATATGGAACATGCCCAAGCCCAGACTCAATACCCAATGTACCCAACCCTAGATCTCTTTCTATGCTCCCTTCTCTGTTCTGTTCTGCTTGCCTCCTCTCCTCTTTGGAGACAGAGTTCTACACAGAAGAGACTTTTAGAATAGCAAGGTTCAAGTCCCAGCTCAGTGGCTTTCTATCTAGCATTACTTTGAGCAAGTCACGTACCCTGCCTGAGACTCAATCTCCACATCTGTAAAGTGGAGATGGGAATGCCTTCCTCCAAGCTGTGTGAGGTTAAGTACACAGATATGAACAGTTCACTCCATAAAAGTGTGTTCCCTCCACCTCATTTCCACCTCCCCAGTCTACTTTTTCTCCTCTTACTCCATCTCCTTCTCTCCCAGTTTCCTTTCCGTTTCCCTAACGTTTCTTCACAATTCTCAATAAGGCCCCTGCTTCCCATCCCAACCCAACATCTCTCTGAGGACTAACCCAATGAAGCATGGAGAGGAAGAGGCTCCCTTTGAGGGCTGCACCAGTGTGGGCTTGAGCAGGAGCCCAGCCTGAGGATGGCAAGCAAGGATGACAGGAGGAAGGAACAAGCCCGTCTCTCCTCCAGCTGCCCAGCCCTTCCCCTTTCCTCCCTCTGGCCCTAGGTTCCCAGAGCCTGAAGAGCAAAGCCTCAGAGAGTCCTCTCACCTTGGGACCCATGTAGGGGTGACCCTGCTGTCACACCCACAGGCATCCCTGCCTGCCAACCCAAAATACTACCTGCAGCCCCAGTGCTGGCCCCCTGAGGATCAGGTAGGATTGGGGAACTGAAACTCAGCTACGAGACCCCAGAGACTGGCGATCCAGATGAAGCAGAGAAATCTCAGCCTAAGAGCTAAGACCAGTGAGAGAAAAGGAACAAGCCCAGGCTTCTGCCCTGAACGTGTGCAGCTTTGAGTGTGAGTGTGACGGTGGGCATTAGAGATAATTCTATTCGGTATCGGTGACAGCTGCCAACAGCCACAGTGCTTGTAGATTGTAGGAACTGTACAAAAGTAGAAGTAAAAAAAAATATTAAGCAAATCTGTGTATGTGTGTATGTGTGGGCGCGTGTAAAAGTCAAATTTATAAGGCCGGGCACGGTGGTTCACACCTGTAATCCCAGCACTTTGGGAGGCCGAGGCGGGTGGATCACCTGAGATCAGGAGTTCAAGACCAGCCTGACCAACACGGAGACACTCCATGTCTACTAAAAATACAAACATTAGCTGGGCGTGATGGCGCATGCCTGTAGTCCCAGCTACTTGGGAGGCTGAGGCAGGAGAATCGCTTGAGCCCAGGAGGCAGAGGTTGCAGTGAGCTGAGATCGTACCACTGCACTCCAGCCTGGGCAACAGAGCAAAACTCCATCTCAAAAAAAAAAAAAAAAAAGCCAAATTTATAAATGGCTTGCAACTACAGGTATATGCAATTACCATGCCTCAACAATAAATTATTGTTATATTTCCTGTATAACAAATGGCAGGTTAATTGTTGTGAGTTGTCATGTCCATACAGGAGTCTCTTTATATTCTAGTCATGCAGCCATTACCCAGCCACAACATTTCAAAGCTGCCCTTCTTCCTCTCACGTATCCCCTGTTCATTTTCCTTCTTGGTCTCCTGGTTTCCCCTTTTTTATTATTATTATTATTATTTCCATAGGTTATTGGGAAACAGTGTTTGGTTACATGAGTAAGTTCTTTAGTGGTGATCTGTGAGATTTTGGTGCAGCCATCACCCAAGTAGTATACACTGCACCCAATTTGTAGTCCTTTATTACTCACCCCCTTCCTGCCCTTTCCCCCTGAGTCCATAAAGTCTACTGTGTCATTCTTATGCCTTTGCATCCTCATAGCTTAGCTCCCACTTAAGAGTGAGAACATACAATGTTTGGTTTTCCCTTCCTGAGTTACTTCAATCAAAACTTCAGGAAACAATGGAAGCACTTATAGAAATGCATTCTATTTTCCTTTTCTCTTTTCCTTCTCTTCCTTTCCTAGCCTGCTCTTGCTGGTCTCTTTCTCATTTTCCCCTCCTTGTCCTCATCCTGTCCCTCTTCTCTCAACCCTGCTTTGGCCATCTTCCTTCCTCTTCTCACTTCCCTATTGCTCCGCCAGTGCTGGGGTTAGGCCGCCCAAGTTTGCTCCTGTTAACCCTAGAATCTCAAGTAAGTTCCCCTCCCTTCTAAGCTCCAGTTTTCTCCTCTGTGGACTCAGAGCAACTCATAGGATCACTAGGAAAACTAAACCAATCCATTCCCATAAAGAAATTAGCTCAACGCCTCCTGCCACAAAGTTAGTACTCAATAAGGGAAAGCGATGATTATTTTTATTTTTCTTAAAATGTATTTTTTTAACTCTCCACGTGAAGAAAACCTCCTACCAAATTTGAGAACCATCTCCTCCCTCTACTGACATTCAATTATCAAAGACTTATCAGGTGCCTAGTCTATATCTAACCTGGGCTGGGCACGAGGGAGGCAAAAATTCATTTCCAGTCTTTCGAAAGCCCACAGTCTGGGGAAGATGAGAGCAGACAGACACATAAAAGACCATTCAAATAGTGAGTGTAGGCCAGGCGCAGTGGCTCACACCTGTAATCCCAACACTTTGGGAGTCCAAGGTAAGCAGATGCCCCCTGTCTCCTCACTTGAGTCCAGGAGTTTGAGAGCAGTCTGGGAAACATGGCGAAATCCCGTCTTTACAAAAAACACAAAAAATTAGCCGGGCATGGTGGCTCACACCTCCAGTCCCATTGCCTGGGAGGCTAAAGTGGGAGGACCACTTGAGCCCAGAAGCTCAAGGTTGCAGTGAGCTGTGATTGCGCCACTTCACTCCAGCCTGGGTGACACACAAGTCCCTGTCTCAAAATAAATAAATAAATAAATATTTTTAAAAAGGGTGATGAGTGTAGGGCTATGGTAGAAGGAGGGATGGAGAACTATGGAGGCAGAGGGAATGCAGTCACCCAGCCTGCTTTGCAGAGTCAGCGAAGACCTCACAGATGGCAATTCTGAGTTGAGTCCTTTTGAAAGGAAAGGAAGAGCTTGCTAAACAAAATAAGGTAAGGACAAGTTAAAGGAATAGCATGAGGAAAGGCCAAGTGTTATGAAAGGGAAGGAAGGTTTGGGGAGCAGTGATAGTCGTGGCAAGCAGATCATACAGGCACAGGAAGAATGTGCAGTGATATGGGGCTGGCAAGGAAGGTAAGAGCTGGATTCTGAAAGACAGGATCATCTTCATCAGTGTCCTCATCATCACCGCCATTCACTGGGGACTTGGCCTTGTGCTAAGCACTTGACGTGTGTTGTCTTATTCAGTCCTCCCCAAAACTCTATGAGCAGGTATTATCATTATCCCCATTTCATAGATAAGGTGACACAGAGCATCGCTATGGTCAAGATCCTGTGGTTGCTCCTGCAGGTTGCAGGGAGACAGAAGAGGTATCTAAGTAGAATGGCACAATTAGAATTCAGCCCTCTTTTCCATTATCCTTGTTCCTTTTTGTCTTTCTGTGCCAGTCCAGGCTGTCAGAGATTTTAGGAAGGTTAATCTCACAGTATGGGCCGGCAGAAAAGGAGATGGGGGAGCAATGACAACTGGCAAATGGGGCTGAATTCTAGAAATGTTTCCATAGTTAAATATGCAGTTTATAAATGATAAATGATCTGTATGGGCCAGACAAGGTGGCTCATGCCTGTAATCCCAGCTGGAAGGCCGAGGCAGATGGATTGCTTGAGCCCAGGAGTTAGAGACCAGCCTAGGGAACATAGTGAGATCCCGTCTTTTCAAAATAAAATAAACGGTCTGTGTGTTTGGATGCAGAACAAGGAGGAATCTGGGGTGACTTCCAGGTTTTTGCCTTGGGACTCTGAGGGAATAGAGGTGCCACTATGATGATAAATACAGCAGTGAAGGGAAAAGGAGGGGAAGGTGAAGGGGCAGAAGAAGGAATTGGGATGAAAAAATAATGAATTTAGTTTGAAAATGTAGGCTTAAAATACCTCTTGATCATTGAAAACATCTTCACAGCACAAAAGACAAAAAAACAGATTTGTAGACTTGGAATCATCAACATATAAGGAAGGAGTGAAGTCAAGGGGAATGAATGACCTCACCCAGAAAGAACAAGAGGTGAGGAAAAGACAGGATGAGGAACAAGGACAGAGCTCTAGAGGGCGCTCAACTGCAAAAGAAAGGTCAGAGAAGGATTCATTGAAATGAAATGCTGTGGCCCTCCCTCTGTGACCTCTTCCCCCAGGCATCTAGCACAGTGCCTGGCACTGGGTAGGTACTCAAATTTCAGTTGAGTAAATAAAAGGAGAAAGAAAAGCAAGGTAGCTTTAAAGTAAGGAAGGAACATGTTTCCAAAAACATAACAATCAATATGTAATATTTAACAAGAATTTTTATTATATTTGAAATATATAATGTTGCTAGGGGGTTACCATTTTTTAATATCTTTTCATGAGAAATTCAAAAAATAAATACTTGTTTCTAATTCCTACTCATGCTATACAAGAATCTAGATTACACACATTAAGTTTTGTGGTTTTTTTTTTTGTTTTTTTTTTTTGAGACGGAATCTCGCTCTGTCGCCCAGGCTGGAGTGCAGTGGCCTGATCTCAGCTCACTGCAACCTCCACCACACGGTTCAGACAATTCTCCTGCCTCAGCCTCCTGAGTAGTTGGGATTACAGGCATGCGCCACCAAGCCTGGCAAATTTTTGTATTTTTAGTAGAGACGGGGTTTCACCATGTTGGCCAGGGTAGTCTCAAACTCCTGACCTCAAGTAATCCGCTCGCCTCAGCCTCCCAAAGTGCTGGGATTACAGGCATGAGTCACTGCATCCAGCCAAACATACATTAAGTTTAATTTCAATGAGAGCTACAATTTCCAATTTACTTTTAGATGGTGAGTTAACTTTTTTCCCACTAAATGAAAATATTCAATATGCCACATATGAACAAAATAAAATTCTCCCACCCACAAAAAAATCCTCCAGGGATACAAAAAAATCATTTGTTCCCTCATTTTTAAAGACTTCTGCAGAGACAATATACAGGCACAATATAGGTTAAAATAAATCACTCTGTGGTTTCTCAAAAAAAGTGAAAATAGATCCACCATATGATTCAGCAATCCCACTACTGGGAATATATCCAAAAGAAATAAAATAAGTACATTGAAGAGATATCTGCACTCCCTTGTTTATTGCAGCACTATTCACAATAGCCAAGATATGGAAGCAATTATGTTTATTCTTGAGGAATAAAATTTTTAAATGTGGTATTTATATACAATGGAACATTATTCAGCCATGAAAAAGAATAAAACTCTATCATTTGCAGCAACGTGGATGGAACTGGAAGATATTATGTTAAGCAAAATAAGCCAGGCACAGAAAGACAAATATCACATATCCTCTGTCATATGTGGGAGCTAAAAAAGTTGATCTCATGAAGGTAGAGAGGGAGAATGGTGGTTACCAGAGGCTAGGAAGGGGAAGAGGAAGAAGGGGATGAAGACAGGCTGGTTAATGGGTACAAACATATAGTTAGATAGAAGGAACAGATTCTAGTATTTGATAGCACAGTAGGATGACAATAGATAATGCTAATTTATTGTACCTCAAAATAGCTAGCAGATTTGAAATGTTCCCAACACAAAGAAATGATAAGTGTTTGAGGTGATATATATGCTAATTGCCCTGATTTGATCATTGCACATCGTATGCATGTACCAAAATATCACATGTACCCCATAAATATGTGCAGTTATTACATATCACATAAAAAATAAAAAATAAATTTTAAAAAAATCAAAACTGAAATCACTCTGAGATTACATTTTGCAGTAAAGGCCAGCATGGAGCAACAGCTGAGTAAAAGGGGGGGGGAAAATGCTTCATGGGCACAGGTGTTGGTAATCCCACAAGAACACCTCTATTTCCTCATTTCCTTTCTAACAAGCCTTCAGCTTCCAATTAATGTTTTTCACCAGTTTTCTTTTCTTCAAAACAGCTAATTGTTAACCAGGGACCCGAGACACTCTCTTGCCTATAAACAAAACAACTAGAAGGATACTTTTTTCTGTTCAGACAAATTTTAGCACTGAAAACATAACCCTCAAACCGCAGAGGGCTAGCTCAGTGCAAACTGTTAATGTCTAAAGCATAAATTGACCATAAACAATATATTGAATAGGTGCACTGGATACAAACTCCATGAAAAAAATAAAACCAACTACTACCAAAGGAAGTGAACAAGACCTACAAACCAAGAAGAAATGCACATTTATGCTGCTGTCATTGATCATTTAATAGGCATGCTAACAGAATAAAAAATAGAAATTTCAAACAAAAAAGAAAATGTCCTATCTCCCATTTCCAACTAACTCCCCCAAATTTATTTTTTCACAAAAGGAGAATAATAAAGAATATTTGTGAAACGTTAGTAACCAAGATGAAAACAGCAAAAAAAAATAGGGATCTGGAGAAAAGAAACAGATCGTTCCAACCAGCCCACAGCTAAATTTCCACTTCATCTCACTAACCATTGAATGCTACCCATCTACTCACCTCAACCCAGACCTAATCCTCTCCCCCAAAAGGAAGATTTCCCAGCAGTGCAGGAAGATCAAACATGACCATGTCAAGGGGAAAAGCAAGGCTACTCTGAAAGCTCGAGCGATGATACAGAACACAGACTGGGTCTCTAGGGGGTATTCTTGAAAACCTGAGATCAAGTCCCGGAAAAACACTCTTGACCACTTACCACCACCGGAAGCTGCTAGATGGCAATCAGAATCAGCATCTCATCAGAAGAAGAGGAAGACGTTACAAGAAAGCAGCTTCACTACCAGTGAGGAATTGAGGGAGAAAAGCACTCCTTGGAAAAATGCTGAAAGCCCTGAAGAGCCTCTCCTTCCCTAGTTGCCTGCTCCTGCTGACAGGACAGAACTGGTTAATCTTGGAGAAACAAAAGGAAAATCCCAAGAGGCTGGCTTCTGAGGATGGCTTCTTCTATGGGAATCAAGAATTCAGAAGGATGAAAATGAACTGTGGAAGGGGACACCAGCTACCAGGTCTGCTTACCAAACTTTTACCAGCCCTTGACTGAGCAAGATAAGCAAATCTCTTTGCAGTTCCCACCTGCTTTTGCAGAGATGAAAGAATCAGCAGTGGGTTTTTGTCTTTTTTTTTTTAATCATCACAAGGGAAGTTCGGCTCTCTTATGGATGAAAGCTAAGCATACTCAAGAGACATTTAGTAGGCAAAGCAATGACACTTCTTTCCCAACATCCTTAATTTCAGCACAGAGGATGCAAACATTAACCCTGATGATACCAAAGAACAAATGCCCATAGGAAATGGTTTTACATTTTTTAGTTTGGAATTGCTTTTAAGGGGGTTCTGGTCGTTAAAGTGGGATTAGATGAAAATAAAATATTTTGGTGCATATCTATTTTTAAAAGGAAGAATATGGCTTCTTTTAAATATGCCTAAAGCCATCTAGGAATTTTCCAGAAGTTGCATCAGATTTTCCAGTTAAGTACTGAAATCAAATAGATTTTAATCATGTCTTTATCACCAGAGCAAGCTAATCCCCTGTGCACTGTCAACTCCACTCTCCTGGAACATCCTCACACTGGGCCCTCGGGTTTTCACAGAAACAGGAGCCTTTTCCTACCAAGGTTCCACAGTAACAAGAAACTACTATCTCTCCAGAATCCAATGAGGACCACATTTTCTTTATCAGAACAGATAGGAGACTGAAACCACCTTTGCAAAAATTATAACAGTGAGAAAATTATGACAGTGAAAGACATCTAACCTAACTGACTCCATCTTGCTTCTAACCTCCAAGATGTCCTTGTCATTTCTGGGCACAGGCTGAACTAACTTTGGGAAAAATTTAGTTTATAGTTTAACTTTGCAACAAAGATGGTAACAGCCCTTCCCCAAACAAACCCCCTTCTTACCTAGGGACCAGTCTGCCTTTGTAGGACTAACAAATTAGCTACAAGATTAGAAATAACGGCTTAAGAGTCATGCAGCCAGAGGCTGCGAGATTCTGAACCTCCCCATATTGCTCCTGAATGGTTTACAGAATTAACCAGGAACAGAAGACAGCAAGGAAAACCCAGTTCAACCTTCTGTGATTTCATCTTCAACTCTTCCAACCAGCATTCCCCGCTTTCTGACCCCCTACCCACAAAATTATCCTTAAAAACCCCAATCCCTAAATTTTCAGGGAGACTGCTCTGAGTAATAATAAAACTCCTGTCTCCCATACAGCTGCCTCTGTGTAAATTAAACTCTTTCTCTGTTGCAATTCCCCTGTCTTAATAAATTGGCTCTGTCTAGGCAGCAGGCAATGAGAACCCATTGGGCAGTTACGAGACCTCTGAATTCTGAGCTACTCCACATCTCCAGTTATTTGCATTCTGATCCAACTACCTGCCTTCTCCTCCTCTCTCAAGGACAGTATTCCCCAAGCATATCCTTTCCATACGCCATAAAACAGCATAAACAGACATTTTAAAGGGATGAGATCAATAAGGATAATTCAAAGTTTTAGTATTTTCTTCCTGCACCCCAGAGGAGCTATTCAGAACCTGCTTACCTCAGCAGGTGACAGGAGTACAGTACACTAATAATGTTCCTGGCCCACCATGCCCCCTTCTCTTGAGTGACTGAAACCAATTTCCCTCCCATTCAGAAACAGATCCAACAAATCTTTGAAGTAACATACGACCTCATGGCCTTTAACATCTAAAAAGAAAGTATAGTTTTCTAACCTCTTGTAGTTTCATTTATTATCTGGCACTTTCCACTGTGTATTGGGCTGAAGTTCACCAAGACAAGGTAACTCAACTCCTCCCCCACCCCAATTTCCCCACCAATTACTTAACCTTCTATGAAACAAAGGAGGTTTCTTTACATTGGCCAACATAAACGACTGACCATTGCTGGTGGTGCCATTTCCTATGTGGGATTTTCCAACCTCTATGAAAAGACTCACAGTTCAGTTTTAGTTATTACTCAACTAACTCATGAAAAGAACAAAAAGAGAATAAGAGAATGCAAACAAAAAGTTAGAAGTTAAGCCACAAATAAGAGACCCACATTTAGGAGCAGAGGATTTTTCTACTCTACTAATAAAATTTCAGTAATTAAACTTAAGAGTCATATAAATCCACCACTACATTACAATTAAGCTGGTAAGACTTTTAAAAGAAAAAAAAAATACCCAAATTTATGGGTACTAAAAGCCACCTCTGGGAACCAGCTCCTAACAGGGATCTGGACTTTCCTCAAGGGTTCTCCTGAATATCCCTTACAGTGCAGACACTCAGACACAAGCAAGAACAATAAATCCTAGAGGGCTTGTTGTTATGCAAGCCCACTCACCAAAATTAGGTGATTTACATTTAACTTGCCCTTTCAAACACTATCTGAACCATGTATTCCAGAACTAGATGACCGAGACGGCCTAACACCAAGCCAGACAATTGGCAGCTCTAGTTGTAAAAGTCATTCTAACAATTCATTTCTAAGTGATGAATGCTCCACAGTCAAAACTGGATCCTGGAATAGGCTGTTGGCATCAGCAAGAGACACATTCCGTAAAATAATGTATCCCTTGCTATCAGGGGAGTATAGTATCTTCTTTGCACATAATAGGTATCCAGTAAAGACTTTTGGCCTCTGCTTTTTTATAGATTGACATCATAAGAAGTCCTTCCAACAATCAGGGCATTTACAAGAAAGGAGGAGTAGAACAATGAACCCGATCTGGATCAATTTCAGAGTTCCATGGTTCTTGTTATCTCAGAATCTCCAAGACCCAAGGAGCAGCCAGACACTTAGGGTCTTTTAACACTCCAGCCCCATTTTCTCCTTAGCAAACGGTCATCCCAATGAGAAGAAGCAAAGCCACGTGGCTTTAAAGAAGCGCTGCTCTTCATCTCTTTACCCTTTTAGCCTGTCCTCCAGGTCACTGGGTGTGAAAATTTCCTACCTCTTATATGACACTCAGGAAGTGTAGGGTCCAAGATCAAAGGAGTTCAGGCTCTTAATCAGGACATGTCTCTGGGACATTTCACACATTCTTCACCATTTTCCAAGCCCCAATTCTGTATCAACTCCTCTCCAAGGCACTGGGGACTCCAAGGTAACCAAGACCTGGTCTCCATGAGAAAAGAAAAATAGCTCAGAGCTGTCTGCACTATGGGAGGTTCGCAAAATTTATCAGGCCAAAAGAGACCGGAGTCTAAGACTTCAGTCATGTGCCCCCAAACCCATCTGTGGGGGCAATTGTTTAAAGGCATTTTGTTCCTGCCTAGCTGCCTCACCCATTATCTTCATGTTCCTGGAATTTATAATACAAGGAAATGACATATAGCCAATCAATAATTTATGTTATTTTAATGTAAATTCTTAGCAAACAACTTAGAAACTGCCTCTTCTTTTCTTTAAAAACCTGCTTGTAACTGCTGCTACAGCTTGTAACTGCGGAAAACCTGAATCTATGCTCCCAGGTTGCAATCCTCAAGCTTGGCCCAAATAAACCCTCTAGTTACATCTATTTTGCCTGGGCTTCTTTCTTTTAGGTTGATATCTGCCCTAACAAGAATCCTTCCAGTGGAAGAGAAAATAGTTGTGAACAAATTGTAACACAATGTGATAGTAACTCTAATTTAGGTGCCCCTTGTCAAAACAGGCTTTGGAACTATAGGAGAGGGGAGGTCATACTTCGGTGTGGGTGTGGAGGTGTCAAGGGAAACCCTCAGAACAAGTGAAGCTGAGTCCTGAAAGACGAGTAGATGAGTTAGGGAGGGTCTTGTTAGTTTCTAATAAGCTAACAGTCCGAAAAAAAAATAAAAATAAACTTCACTAATACTGTCAGAGGCATCCAAGGCATTTGAACCAGAGCAACTCCATCTTACATTGCCAGGAGGTTAGTCATTCTTAGACAGTTTCAGTTAAGAGAACAGGTTAACAACATTTACTGAACAGACCCAGGAAATGTCCTGATGTCCTGATATTGTTACCGGAAAGGGATCCCAATCCAGATCCCAAGAGAGGGTTCCTGGACCTCATGCAAGAAAGATTTCCATTTGGTGGAGGTCCAAGTTTCTGAAAAGTAAACTCAAGGTCATATGTCAAGATGTTATCTTTAGTTTCTGTAGACAACCAAACATCTTATGACTATAACTTCCTTAGCTATTATTTTAAGCTACTATTACCTTCTTACTTATTAAGTTGCTCATTTAATTCTCAGGACTAGCTAGGTGCCTGGAATTTCCATTGAAGAAATTCAAGATGTTCCTTTATTTCCATGCTTGGTGGAGAGTGGCAGGCAATCTTATAAGCAAGGAAGTAATAGCTTGAAACGATAGCCAAAGAAGTTACAGTCCCAATAGAAACTAAAAATAACATCTTAACATATGTCCCGGAGTTGTTTTGCAGAAACCTGCCCCCGCCCACACACCGCCCACCAAATGGAAAACACCATCCACTGGCACACAGACCTTGGGGAAGGGGCAACTGGGGACTGAACTCTGACCACTGTTCTTTGTTCTAAATTTCTTCCTGAGGAGCCTAGCAGACGTCACACCCACAGGCCAGAGTTCAACATTCCTTTCTGCTGACCCCAAGTTTGTTTTTTTATTATTATTATTATACTTTAAGTTCTAGGGTACATGTGCATAACGTGCAGGTTTGTTACATATGTATACTT